TTGTGGCCATCAGCAGTATTAAATATTCAGAGATTTTTCTATTAAAAACAATATGAACTATTGAACAGTAATATTGCCTCAATCTACTGATTTCTGACAACTCTCCTTGGGTGAACATTTGGCAACAAACTTTGACTTGGTACCAATAATAGATAAAAAATTCCCTTCTCCTTGCAGTTAAAGACAAGTACATTACCTACTCAGGGTTTGTAAAAGCCTTGAAAGTCCTTGAAGATGCTTGAATTTAAAAATTAAAAACTCAAGGCCTTGAAAGTACTTAAATTTGAGGACTAAGGCTTGATTTTTGCAATGCTTTTTATTTAGCAGTTTTCAAGTTGAAAATTACAGTACTTTCATGGAAAACCTGAGAAATAATATTAAATGATTTTAAAATTGCTTATGCAAACCTTTCCAAAAGGGGTCCTTCAATTTTCTAAAACTTGGCCTTTAAATTCATTGAAAAGTACTTGAATTTCAACCTTTGGCATCTATAGGAATGTTACGTATATGGCTTGATTGACCATATTTAGATAGCAATGTACTCTTACATGAAGTAGAGATCAGCAATAAAAGTGTGTCTGAGACAAATGGAAAAGCTTGGAGAGGTTCCTTGTCGAAACAGTTTACGAAGAGCGAGCTCACAATAACACAAGTTATCGCACTCTCATCCCCAGTTTCCGCGGTTCACACAAGGAACGCCTGGGACCATGACCCCCTTTTGACAACCAAAACGGCTTGCATTTTCAGACTCGGGCTCTCCTACGGAAGCCCGAGTAATTATCAAGTTCTTTTATGATTCAGCGTCTAAACAAGGATCATCATCGTTTGCTTAAAAGAGTCGTTAAAGAAGTATCAAGGAATGTGAACCTCTACTTTGCATTTATTATCCACACACCCACTCTTTGCATACGATGGCACTCTTAATAGTTGTACCGTGGAAAAGAGCTCTTCTTGTGTAACTCTCAGTAAACTAGCTAGTATTTAATCATTTTTGCACCAGGCTGGTAAAAGTCTCATTTTATTTTATTTCCTAATTCAAAGAAACTGGTCAAAATAAGAACGTACCAGACGAACGGTTTGTTTTATTTGTTTCTGGCCCTCATAGAACCTCTCTGTGTAATTTTCATCGAGGAAGTTGTCGAGCAAATTCTGATGGCAATTGACATTAAGCAAAAGCAATGCAAATGCCTTGAATGGAACTTGAGGGCAAAATGAAAGTCTCAATAAGAATTCAAGTTTAAGGATAGGACACGTAAATTTACCAAAAAGCGTTGGAAATTCATATGAAAACAAAATGAAGAAAACTCATGATTATTAACTTTTTAGTGTAAGGTCCTGCGCGCGCCTCAGTCAAATATTCCCGTGAGATACACAGGAGATGGTGTGAAAAGGGCTCGCTTTAAAGGCGGACGGCCCCGCGAGCTGCGCTCTAAAAGAAGAAAAGAACAAAAAGAAAGAACGACTTTCATATGATAAAATGCTTGTTAACGTAGTCAGATCGCACCAAATGGAAAGATATTTGGCTTTCTATCATGAGGCACGAACTGAGGGTAGCGAAATCCATACTTCATGGCCTCGAGCCAATTACTTTCCCGTCTGGTCCTCCCACTCAGTTAACGAGAACACATTATTTTATTTCACTGACGCTGCAAACTTCTTGAAACGTGTCTAGATTCTGTTCAAATTAATTTATTGTATATCATGCTCCCTTGTCTCTAAACATACATACATACATTTTATTGTGTTTTGAGATAAAAGTACAGTGACATGCCCGCGGGTAGCTAAGCTAATCTAGGCAGGTCGTGTTTACAGGAAATAGATACAGCTAAATACGACTAAAAGTAACAAGAGAACTAGAAAAAGCTAGAATTGACAACAATGACTAGAGACTACTGATAAACTAATGATATTACTAATATGAAATGACAACAGTCTTGACGGGAAATTACTGATAGATTAAACGATATATAATGAATACGTATCAACTGATAAATCAAGAGGAAGATAAATTCAACTTAACTTTTTGAACGATTTCTGGAAGATCAATATAACAATCTTCCGAAGCTAGAATCTCAAAAAGTCTTTGTTTTATTTTCCTCTTGAAGGCTTTTTTTGAAAGTTTTCTAAAAGATACAGGCATTTCATTCGATACTTTTGTTCCGATTCTAGAAAATGAATTCACTCGAATTGAGAGTCTGGAACTTTGTTTGTAAAAGTTATTAGAGGCAGAGGATCGAGTATTATAAGAATGAATATCAGAGACATCTTGAAAAAGATTTTGAATGTTTCCAGGAGCATTACTGTATCTTATTTCAAACATAAGGTTAGCTAAATGCTCATAATACAAAAATTTTATCGGTAAGACACCGGCGTCGATAAATAAAGGAATCGCACGCTGATTTCGCTCAGAGAAATAGATAAAGCGAAAAGCTCGCTTTTGAAGCTTGAGAAGCTTTACAAGGTACGATTTATATGCTTGACCCCTGGCCGTCAAACCATAGGTTAAATAAGGAGCAACAAGGGATCGATAAATAGTTAGAAGAGTATGTCTTGGCAGAAAATGCCGTAGTTTACAGATAAATCCTACAGTTCGACTCATTTTAATAGCTGCGTGGTCAATATGATGTTTCCAGGAAAAGTTATTGTCACTTATTATACCTAGATATCTCACGAATTCTTTACATTCTGGAGCAACATTCTTACTTGATCGTTGTCGAATGCAATTATTTTGGGGTGATAGGTAAGTTTTCTCTGAGTCAGTCTTAAAATTACGAAATTTGTTTTATAATATTCAAGTCTAGTTTATTGGCCGTTAGCCAACCAAACAACTTACAGAGTTCCTGATTTAGAGTCGACTCAAGGGACTTGAGATTTTTGGCAGCATATACAGCATTCGTGTCATCAGCAAATAAAAGGAATTTAAGTTTTTCAGAAGATTCTTGGATATCGTTGATATAAAAGCGTTATACTAAGGCATAAAGGTGGTTTAACTCATTGCTAATGGAATCCCTCTTATTTCTTGGAATTGTTACCAAAGAGGATTCTCTCATGCTTTTCAAAACAAACGTCTATATGTATATACGGTCTGTTCTTCAAACTATCGTGCATGAAGAAACATGCACGATAGTTTGAACACCTTAGTTGTTTATTAATATCTTTTATTCCTACCATATAGAAAGCCAAACACTTTGTTTGAGATAAATTACGTGACAGATGGCAGATGCTCTTAATGACATCTTTTCAGCACAAAGCTAAATTTCTAATAAAGTCTCGCCGTTACTTTTCCCTGGTCGTGACATGCGTGGGTAAAAGCACCGCAATTGTTAAAAATAGTATCAATCTTAACAACAACAAAAATGTGTATTCCTAGCCACTGTACAAGTCCTTTAGTATATTTTGTGTGCATTTTGATTACACATTCCTCGACCCTGCACACCTAGAGACGATGAAAGTAATAACACTACGAATTTCTATGAAATGAGGCAAACTGAAAAGCTTTTTGACGCACCAAGTATAGATAAATGAAACTTTAATCGTTTTCTCCAAGATGTAGAGTTCGACTATTACCTCTGCTGTTGCATGAGTCACACAATCAACCGAATTAAGAGTTTGCATTGTATAAGTAGCTTTTAGTTTCAAATTCTGGGCCAAATTGTTAGTTGTTTGTTAAACATGAAGTCCTGTAATAGGTGTGGGCTTATACACGGGCGCTTTTGTTTTATAGCTCGCGTTGGTTATGTTGATTTTACCCGTTGAAAGCTTGGGGTCTCGGCTAACAGCCAGGATCGACTTATAGCCGAATAAGTAAGGTAATTGTGTTGATCGCGACATTTCGACTGCTATAGCAGTTCGTACTATATGATATACATACATACATACATGTATACATAGGTTAATTGACCACTCCCCATAGGGGCTTTTCAGGGCCGATTCCCACCCATCCCACCCAGGGGAGGACATCCACTACACAGTAATCTCGTGCGTGGGAAATTAACGTCTCCTACCCCTAATCCTGCAGGGGACGGCCGGGCCTACGGTTTATTCGTCCTTATCCGAGAAGACTAGAATATCTATCCATTTCTTGATTTTAGAAAGGTAGCAAATTCTCCTCACTTATTTTAAGACCATGAGTATTGGTCCGGCCGGGGCTCGAACCCTCGACCTCCCGCACAACACAGTCCGGCAATTGAGCTAACCGTAGGTTTTCTTTAAGCTATTCTTTACTCCTCTTAAAATGATGTTGAATTGCTTAGTTTTGATTATACATCAAAAAAAAGTTGATTGGAAGTACTGCATAAACTGTGTTTATATTACCAAAAATAAATTACATCCCTAATTACCGCTAGACCTAATCAAAAGTCTGCGCATGAGTGGGGCTGAGTGGCCTATAAACTTAAAGGTATCCTGGTTGCTGAAACTACAGCATGATGGCACTCGTATATAACAAGCAGACATCCATTTGCTGGAGGAGATTTCAAATCATCACCAGTAACTGCCTGGCATTTCTCTTTAAATTTGTTATGACAAAATTAACATTCCTTGGTACATGGAGTACAACATTCCTTAAGTACTTAAAGTACATGGTCTAAAAATAGAAATAGACTTGCTTTTGTAAGTCCAGCCTTAAGGAAGATAAAACACCTCTACTTCATCGGGAGTAAAGTTAAGACTCCCGGCTAACACTGTATCCTTTTCCTTTACTTCATTTGGAACCAAGAAGGTGTGACCAAGCCTGGCGTACGAATTAGTATTATAACCGGCGTAGTCAGCAATATGAATATCGAAGCCACCACCAAATGTTGCACCATAGTTTATCTGCATGTAAATTGCTTGGGAAACATGCCTCACCATACTCTTAAACGGCATCAGTCCTTCCTTGTTTTTGATCGAATAAATAAAAGCCTTTTCCGTCTTGCGATAACCTCGATAGGGATTGTGATCTACAGGTCAAGACAATAAGCAAAAATTCCACCCTTTTAAGAGGCCATATTGTTCTTAGCTTTCTGCTTTTCGCAGTAAAAGATGGTAACATACCGCAGGAGTTGAAATAAATAGTCGCATGGTTTATTCTGTGTATATTTCCGTCATGACTTTTATCAAAACTGAAAAAGCGAGGGAGAAGTATAGAAATCTGAATGTATTCGAAATATTGTGCAATAACATTCTTCCTTACCGCATCGAGCCCAATTTTCATTGTAGTTAGCATCTAATGAGCACCACCATTTATAAAAGTGTGACCATATACAGGAGTAGTAGGTATGTCCTTTATATTTGAAAGGAAATACACAACAGCGACCTAACTGGTCCTTTGTTCTTGCTCCCGGAGGACAACCTGCCAAGAAACCATTTAGATCAGTTAGTCATCAATAGCGTTTTTTTTCGGATTAACAGTTATAAGAATTAGTTAAGAAGTCTACAAGATAGAAAGGGTATAATATCCTTACTTAGAGTTCATAGTCATGACTGATTTTTACATTCTGTACTTGCACATGAATCATTCGGAGAACTGGTTTTGGGAGCCCTTTCGTGAATTCCGTCTATAATACTGTTGGAAAGGTTTAGGTAACATATCCAAAAGGGTGATTGCGGGAGCCGCAACATCAGTGCAGTAATGAGCTTGGAAGTATTGACTGATTAACAGTACATCCTAGTCATGACACCTGTTTTCATTCATCAAATAGGCTCCCTGGTTTTCCTATATCTGACACTACAACTTTTAATTTTGTTTTCGGAAAACTAGAGCCCTCGTCAGGTAACTGTTGTTCACACGGCTGTAACTGGCGAAGCATAGAAGAGAAGTAAAAGGAGCGCTTCAGCTGGGAAACCTTTGAATGTTGCCTAAGGGAGCCGAGCTTGTTTACCTCTATGTTCGATACATATAACATTGATTGGCAGACTACTAGTGGGTAAGACCATTATTAAGTTCAAATTCTAGAATGTCACTCACCCCATGGAATGTCAGTGTACCCTCCAAAAACATACTGATCTTTCTGTATGATTGTCACAATATTTTTCTTTCCATCGCAACGAGCATGGAAGACTCTACCAGCCCAGCCATGCGAAGAGGCGCGGTAGCAGAGCAGCCAATAGGAATCATTCCCTACAGCAGGAACCAGGAACTCACGAAGATATGCGAAGTAAGATTCATTTTTCGACAATATATTTGAATTCTTTATGTATCCTGCAAAAGTAGAAATAAGAAAATTCACAGTTGCCCTATTCTTTATTTTTCTATTTATGTACATAGAAAAAGATTCAGTTGGTCTTCCCTTTAACTAATCTGCAACGCCACAAAAACATCGAAAAAAGCATGTTCTTAGTAGATTTTCTCCTTTTTTTGCACTCTGTTTACTCTGGAACTTTTCATGGCTGCGTTAAAACACAGCCAGGAAGCAGAATATTAAAAAAGCGCTGTACCAACTCTTTTTTGCAGTTATCTCCATCAAATGCCAATCGTCATCTATAACGATATAAGTGCTAAATTTGGTCAACGTAGTTAGCACTATTCTTGAAATGTTACCGGAATGATAATGAATATTTCCAAAATGTATTTCCAAGTAAGAGTAAAACATTACTTATCCAACCTGTTTCACAGTGAGCACCAGTGAATCCTTGTAGACATGTGCATTTGTATTTATCACCTTCGTTGGTGCAGGTTCCACCATGGTGACATGGATTTTGCGCACAACCCGAAATTCCTGTCGTAGGAAAAAAACTTGATGAGCCAACAATATAGGATGCTTTTTCTTTATGCGTGCTACAGGAAATTTTTCAGCGAATATATGCTAGAAGGTTATTGGATCATGAGTCGTTTTTCATGTTCATAACTGTGAGAGTTGTAGTAAAAAGGTCAGAAAGCAATCTGCAAGCTTTTTTCTCGATAAAATTCTCCCTTCTTCATTTCTAAGTAAAGCCGTATCGTTTATCATGAAACACCATTCGATATAGAATACAAAAGCCAAACCAACTAAAAATACACTCCCCAATCAGAAAAAAATGGCTCAACTTGACGAAAAGCCATAGGCAATCCAAAGTAATACAGCCAGATGGCCGTAACTGCTGGAAAGCCTTTGTTAGTGCTTTGATAGGGACCAGCATCGCTACACATTACAAGTTTGTTCTTGATAGTGAAAACCTACCTTCATTATCCATACGATTGCTCATTTCAAACAGAAAGATGGATATGTTGTAGTTTAATTTTATGTTTGGTTCAAATTTTATTTGTTTCAAACTCATTATCATACATTAACATGACCGAGAACAAAGGAAAATGAAATTTGAACCAAGTATAAAGTTGAACTATAACAGATACACCCTATACACACAATTTACACACGGCAGCCGACATGAGGCGAGCGAAAGGTCACCGCGCGAAATGCATAAACAACAAGGTGCTCGTACTATACTGAAAAGCGCCTGGCGAAGTGCACAAACATCAAGAATAATCCTCATTCTTAGAGCACTGTGCGAAGTGCACAAACAATAAGAGTATTCTCCGCTTTTCAAAAAGCACCATGTGGAGTGCATAGGCAACAAGTGTATTCCTCGTTCTAAAAGGACTGCGCGAAATGCACAAATAACAAGATTATTCTTTGTTCTCGTAAAAGCACCACGCGAAGTGAACAAACAACAAGTGTATTCCTTGTTCTATTCAAACGCACTGCGTGAGGTCCACAAACAGCAAGTATATTCGTCGTTCTAAAAGGGAATTAGTTACGAAAAAATTCCACTTTATCATAGCCATACCGTGGCTCTCAAAGAATTTCTCCATTCGCCAAGTGCATTTTTGTGTCACCAAGCCCCATTATTACTTCTTCTTACTAAAAATAGAGCGAGCCACCTTTATATTTTTCGTTAATGAGAATTTGGGGCCAACAATTGCTTGGATTTTCTGCAGTCATTTCCTGCAAATGTTTTGATGCGTTGGGAAACTGACAAATTTCTATTCGTTTCCGAGAGGATCTACGTTTGGTCGATAGGAGGGACGCAGGCATTTACGGTTGAACTTAATTTCCCGAGAGACTTGCTGGTCTTGTAACCAGAACCCAGAGAGGGTTAACAAATAACTATAACACTTAATTATTTGTGTATTATAAAGTTCCCTACCTTCACACTGTTGACCTTTTTCCACATAACCAGGCTTGCATTTACAGGTAAATGATCCCATGGTATTATGGCATTCTGCATTAGCATTACATTCGTGAGTTTTCTTTGCGCATTCGTCAATATCTAAAAGCGAGTAAAACTTGAAATGCACATTTTTCATAATTGAGATTGAAATAGTCGCAATTAAGATTTCTAGAATTAGAGTTAAGGGGAATATTATATATTAAAAATATCCCTGAACATTGATAATACAAATGGATTCCAGAAAATGAATCGCTAATAATTTTTGTTGTAGATAAAAACTGTTACAAAGTATGAACACATTTAACTTGTCTCACCTTGTTCACAATGGGGTCCCGAAAATCCAACGGAACATATGCATCGATATCGCTTGCTTGTAAAACCAGATTGACAAATGGCATTGTTAAAGCAGGGAGCACGACCACAAGCATTCTGGGAAATAATAAGAAAAATAAGCAAATTGAAAAGAAAATTAAAAAATGTGAGTCGATTAAAAATCGCGTAAAAAGGTAGGTAAGCAATGTTTGAATATGAAAGGAAATAGTAAAAAAATAAGAAAGACTTAGGTAATTTGGTTAAACAAATGAGGATATGACGTGGTACCATCATTCTTAGGAATATTTTTGCTGGACCAAGGGAACCTCCTCATTTGGTTTAATACAGTGAACACCGTTACAAAGTACAAACATGAACAAAATATAACATGATTTGAAAGGATGATTAAAAAAGGTAAATAAAAGAGTGAGTTAATGAGTAATCGCGTGAATGTATAAATAACTAGATGTTTTTACTGGGTAAAGAAATAAAATAAGCAATAAATAGGTAAGTTTAGCAATTAAACAAATGGAAATATAATAACGTCATGGTTGCGTTATTGTAAGCAATTTTCTTGCTCGCCCAAGGAAGCCTGTTGATTTGGTTCCAAAATGGTGAACACTGTAACAAAGGTGAATGCATTAACAAACATAGAATTCCCTTCCAACTTAATATAAATTAAAATGATTGCTAAGATACCGTATCCTTACTTTTGTTCCATGGTACACATAGTTCGCTGCCTTCACCAGGTCCTTCTCATGTTCTTTACTTGTTGAGTTGTTCAGTTCACAGTTTTGTGCATCGCTTGGTCCAAAATAAAAGTTGATGCTGACACAGTTATGGTTCAGGTAACATCGATGTTCGCACGTGTCTCTGTCAATTACACTGATGTTTGCTATGCTGTGGTTAACAAGACGTTCTCCCACGAAGAAGAGAGTGGATGGAAATGCTAAGATACGGCATTGATCTAAAATAAGTAAAACGTTTGAAACAGTTACACCAATCTTACTTTAACTGATCTGCATGATTTTCATGAACCAACACTCTTTATATGAATGTAAATTATGCTTTTAGGTTCTTTCAGATCCTAAAAAAAAGGAAACTAAAATAGTGTAAAAACGTTTTTTTTTTTCATTGGAATCGAAAATAAACAATGTCTTTTTCTGTTACGGCGGTACTCCAACATGCTGTTTTGATAGTTTTGTTATGTTGTCAAACATTTGGCCAATATGTTAATTTCACATGTGATGTACGCTAAAAAAAGCCGCTAGGGTACTGTTTTAGCCTGACTGTTATTCAATCAAAATTCATCTGGCGCTAAAATCGAATAAGTTAGAATAAGACAACATAAATAGTAATAATTCATATTCACAGCACAGCCCATGAAGCCAAAAGAAGCGAATGAGGTTACTTTTCTGCCAAACTTAATGAAGGGGGTTTTCATATGCTAATCTATTTTCAGGAAATACTCGATAAATCGTGATTATAACTTCAGGATTAAACGAAAATACCCATATATTGTGCGGCAAGGTTAAGCTTGTACGTTTTCATAGGATATGAAAAGTTAGGTAAGTGGACCTAGAATATCACCCACAATTGATTCAACTGAACTTGCGACGTACTCCATTGAGTACAGGATTGGGAATGGATGTTTGCTCCGAAAGGACTAGATGATTTTTTCTAGTAGGTAAAAATCTTCCGCTTAAAAAACGGCAAAAATAACAAAAATCTTCAACATTAAAAGATAAACGTAAAGAAGAAAGTTAAAACGCAAAATATATATGAATAACAATTGGAAGTGAAAAGCAAATAATTGACATGATCTGACAACTCGTGATAAAAGCTACCTAAAGGCAAAGTGATGTACCCTTACCATCCAAGCAAGATAAAACATTCTTAATCAGCAAGAAAAAACCGAAGTGCAATAGAAAACCCATGTTTGTGAGATCACCTTTCTGAACATGAGTAGAAGCTGGTGGGAACTTTTCCACAACCTGACGAAGTTCAAGTTTTAATTAGCACTACTAAGTTTCCTCACACGTACCCAATTGATAACAAAGGCTGTTTTAAAGGCGAACGTCATAACCACCAGTTTCAACCAATAGAAGCGTTGTTGATATGCTGGTACTTAATTATGACCTGTGGGAAAGTCGTTTTATTTGAGGTTTCATGCCATCATTCGCAAATTATCTAAGTTATTCCACATATGTTGACATACCGGTCTCTCTGAGAAATGTTAATATATGCGCATTAGACGTTGGCTTAACTTACACACAGCTGCCCTCAAGTAACACAATTAGAACTGAAACTCAATTTCAATGCCTTGAATTTCAAAAGCCTTTTCTGGCCACCTGCCTAAAATGAAACACTCTGTTTTGGTGAATTCATAATTTGTTGATTTTATTCATATGTAGGTCTTCCAATTTTCGACTCCATTAATTTACGCTCATCCTTTTCGTTTTTTCGCGTATCATTCATGTACCATTGTTTTATCGTTTTATATTCCATGTTTCACGCCCCTTCTGGCAGTGTATGTTTTTTTTCCCTCACTGTAAAAGCTCTTTGCTGAGAGCTTTTCGTCTCGTATCTTTGTATTTATTTTTTCCGTCTTATTTGTAAGAATATTTTTTAAAAGGCGTTTTTCTGCCTTTTAGGAATTTACTTCTTTCTCACGTGTACATGAAAAGAGTAGTAAATCGAGTGCTGAATAAGTGTGTCACTTAAGGCGGGCGCTTGCCCCTTCACATTCCTTCAAGATATTTCAATTGTACATTGCATGTTACTAATCTACGTCTCAGTCTATGAAATAGAACAAATAAAAAGAGGGCAAGGGAAGACGAATCACGCCCAGTAACACGAGAACCTAACTATCTTAATTTGGGGTTGGTAACTCTATCCATTTTTCAAGTTCCCTTCCGTAGGACTCCGTACCACCCCTAACAAGCTCCTAGATTTACCCCACTAAGTCACAAATCCTCGTGCCCTAAGAGGTAGCAATCATTCAAAGGGTCTAATCATTAAAAGTGGTTTGAACAAATATTACCATGACTACAGGAGATATAAAGACATCCCGGGAAAGATGATCATATGAGTCTCCTGAGAGAGGAGGGACCTGTAAAGAGCGCTTCATTTCCTACCTTTCCTTAAAGTTTATTTGATTCAAACAACTCAAACTTACATTTTAAAATCAGCCATCCGATTGGTTGAGCCTGAAAAGACAACCAGACCTCTTTCCTCTGATCGAGGCGGTTCTTAAATGAAGTTTACAAACTTGCTGATATCCGAAATCGTTTTCTTAAGAGACGATAACAATCTCTTGCTTTTCTTTATTGTCCATGGGTTTCTTTGCTATTCAACAAAATTATCAAGTTCTTTTTTGGTTTTTTTTTTTATTCACAACCTTACAAATTACAAATACAGTCACTTGCGTAACTTACAGTACAATACGACTACTGACATTATTTACAGTATAACAACGGTTTACACTACTTACATAACAGTTCAAAGCTTACACCACTACTATTAGATTCTACTATTACTGCCAAGTGCTAGTTTTACAGTATTATAATACACTATACTATAAAATACTCACACATATATTACTACTTCTAGTATTGCAATTAGCTTCACCAGTTACTTATTTATTAGCCACTTTTTATTAAATCTATCTAAAGGATTATTCTTCATACACACATATTTTTCTGTTTCAAACTTATTTTTATCCTTTAATTTGAAGCCAGTTATATTGGGTAATATTTGAGTTCTTCTGCAATCCCATAAATATATCTTAGCTCTCAGTAATAAGTGATTAAGTAAAGGACAGTTCGTGATTATAATACCAACAATAACATCTTTCAAGGTAAGGTGTACAAATTCTTTTGAAAGACTGTAAACATAAGATTCAAAATCTCTCCAAAAACTTTTTGTTTTTATGCAATCAAAAAGAAGATGGCTCAAGGTTTCTGATTCACACTTGCAAAAGGAGCATTTATCTTCTGTGATGAATCCTATCTTAAATAGCTTGGTGTTAATGAATAATATGGAATTTAGGACCTTGTACTGGAAGGCTCACGTAAGGTTCATAGCTCACTGTGTGAGGCAGGATAAACACTTTTTTTTAATTGTTCTTCGTTTAAGTTGAAATCACTTTTAAAAACTTGTGCATTGTTTGGAGATTTTACTTTTGTGCTTAGGAGCAGAGTGTAATAATGTTTTAAGGGCTGATAGTTTCTAAAGAAACTGTTTGTGGCTGCGTCGGTGGGGGTAACGAAATAATTTGAATATATCAACAAAGTTGAAATGGTAAATTGGCCACCGTTACGATTATAAAAGCTGACGTTTCGAGCGTTAGCCCTTCGCTCCAACGAAGGGCTAACGCTCGAAACGTCAGCTTTTATAATCGTAACGGTGGCCAATTTACCATTTTAACTTTGTTGATATATTCAAATTATGTAATAATGTTTTGATGTCTTTTTCAAAACATCAAAGACCTTGTTGTTGATGATCAAAGAGTGAGAGATTGATTTCCAACACGGGGTTAGTGTTTGTTTTTAAGTGGGACGGTATAGCATGTCGAAGACCCGCCCGAACCAAAAAGTTTGTTTTGTTGATAATATTTAAAATGACATTATAGGAGTCTATATTATTTAATTCAAATAAGAGATCGTTTACGTAAATAATGCCGAAATTATAAAAGACGGACTTGTTATTGATACGAGATAAGGCTGACTGATCAAGAACTTGATCATTTTTATCAATAATCAAAATTATCAAGTTCTTGATCAGTCAGCCTTATCTTTTGAGTTATATGGTTATTTTTTGCTGGGGTTTCGAACTCTACATTCAGTGTCAAGAGAAAGAAAATTGGCTTTAAGTTTGCTTAGGGGTTTTCTTTTAATCGACCCCTTCCGGCAATAAATTTGTTGTCGGTATCTACCATTTTCGATTTATATTTTTCGCTGAAACTTTGTCTCTCACTCGACTGATCATGGGTGGAGGGGGTGCGGTAGGAATACAAAGTTAGGAATACTAGTATACCACAGGCCGATAACTACTACTCGTATGTGTGACTCAAACCGGCTTCTGTCCATTCCTTCTACTATACTCAAAAAGTTCATTTAACACGATAACTTTGTATTCGATCTAGTTGGCAAACAACAAAACTGGATACAAGATATATTCATCCCCTGAGTGTTTTCCGGCAGATGGTACAACGGTTAAGAGGTGAAGCAAACAATGTACACTGGTGGTAAACATTCTCTCCTTGTTTGAATGGCTCGAGTAAGACAACCCAGAGGGAGTTCGAGTAAGTTTTTTTTCTATTTTTTGCCGTTCACTGACGAGGATATTTTTCACGTCCACACACTCGTCATTTTCCCTGTTATAGTCATTCAAATATCATTGAGTGTGATAGAGAAGCGACCAGTGTCCGAACTTGAATGTAGAGTAACATAAGTAGAATAATCTATTGACGTTTCGGGAAAAATATATAACATCAGTGATAAATTTCTCGGCTTCAAACCATTCCAACTTATAGTTTTTAAATAAACTGCGTTTTCATGAACGATAAAGTTGTTTTAATGGACAATATTACTTTGCCCCCGCTACTTTGACGTTTCAAGCAATTTTTGATCTGCATAATAATTTGCAATTATTCACCAACGCAAAGTGGAGGTAAATATCCATTACTCTCAAATTTTAAAAAATGAGTTTATTTCTCTCAATACACCAAAAAATGGTCGGAAATTAAACTCATGACGCGCTGTTTGTCTCTTCGGCTGCTCGGAGGTGAATAGTGCTTGCTTAATCACCTCATAATTGGCAAATCAGCGGGTGCGAAAAGCACTATTCAATCGTGTGGTTTAAATTAACATCTATATTTCTAATTAAAAATATAAAATGGGACATGCCACTGACTGAAATTAATCCAAAAATAAACTTGTTGATAGTGTATAAGTTCCAAAGTACATGCAAACATTGTTCCAAGAATACTTCGAGGGATACTCGACAAAAGACGAAGACAAGACCATCTAAAATATACCAGGCTGGAGGCTTGTGGACAATGTTGCGAGGAATTACAAGCTACTACAACTTTGCCCAAAGCCATGGCGATATCAATATGCCAAGGAAACTGGAACTGTAACAAAGTGGGGACAGTTTTCATTTTGTCGTGGAGGACGATTTCTAGCAGACCTCGGGTATAAGAACCAAAGCAGATTTGGCATGGCTAAAAATTTACAAAACAACTATTGGCTTGACAGTAGTTGTTGACAATTATTGTATATATTTATATGAATATCATTTAAAAATATTGTAGATAGGAATTTTTTTTGTGTGTCCCCAATTAGCTTGGTAGCTAAATCTCTTGACACATCAATAAAGTATTCACTCACTCACGCACACTCACAAGAAAACTAGAGTTGTCCTCGCAGAGATTTCCGCATTCAATTCATTTATGAATATTCTAGGTGTTGCCACATGCCTCTACGAGGTTGAGGTAGCTGGTCTACATAAAAACTGATCTTCTTTCCCTTGATTGGGCGGAAACAACCTCACATTAGTTTTGTATGAAATACTTGTTTCTTTATTTTGTATTCTTTTTTCTAATTCTGGAAGAGAAAGCTTCAGGCTTTACAACCATCGGTCTCGATGTTTCAACTGAAGTCCATGCTGATTAGGTCGAGATTTTCCAATTGGTATTTTATGTGTTTTCCGTAGTAACGTACCTACTTACGACAAAGTAAAGTTTCTTCAACGCCGGGAAAACTGCAAGTAAACATTTACGCAAGTGTAAGTTTCCAGGAAGCCATCACATGGCAAGAAGCAGAAAATACCACACTTGGAATCCTGATATCCATAGTCTCTACAAAACTCTTCCGACGAATCATTCGCCATAAAAATCCATAGCTTTCAAGGTATCTGCAGAATCATTGTCATTTGTAGTGTTTTATTAATTTTCTTTGTGGCATTTTTGCACTGCGGTGTCTTGATGTTTGGCTCTGTATCTGAGCGCTCTTCTTCGGTACTAAGAGGAGCTTATTTCCAACTAGACCTCACTTTTGGGCAGACCAAAGCTCGACCAATCGATGAACTAACAGAGACTAACTGCATATTTGCCAAAATATATTAAGATAATGTTGGCAAGACTACTGATTATAGCTTTAAAGGAGAAGAGAAACACAGAAATGAAAGCAACACCAGGAGACAATTATTCTTTAGATGAATCGAACGAAGAAAAACAGCTAGACGACCTGGAAATTTCTTCATTTATTAAAGAAAAAAGAAACAGCAACACCACAATGACGCGCTTTGCATACTTCTGTCACGCACTCCCCGTAAATAAATATCCCGGGCCCGAAATTCGCCCGCACTGAAATAACAGTTTGACGTGTTGGATGATAAATAACTTATTAGACGTTTTGTTCA